TTTTTTTTATAAATTAGCATAACATAAGAAATAATTAATTTATCTTTAAATATATAATTTATAATCTTAATTTATAAACATTTACTACATAAACCTTAAAATAGTTTTTATTCATAAAACTAAATCTATTTAGGAAAAATAAGAAAATCTCTTTGAATCAATCGGGTAGGTAAATTATGTTACTGTCAGGTTGATTGAATTACTTCTATATGATATTTAAAATAGTCCAAAAATAGGACAAGGTTGATCAAGTTATGAGTTTTTGTCAAACCAAATCGATCGTATAAACTAAATATAAATTTTAGTGTTAAAAATATTTTATTACGACAAATGTAATGTAGTCCAAGCTTTAAATAATCATATTAAGAATATTTGTATAACAACATGTTCAATGATTTATGTATATTTATATATTACTTAACTAATATTTATGTGAATCAAATGATATTGTAAAATTTTATTAATTTACGTAAATCCAAAGTTCTAAGAAATGATTTGTCATGGCACCCATCAAGTTGTTTATTTGATGATTTATTAGTTCGACCAGAGTTTGATTTACTAATATTTTAATATATATATATAGCACTCTTTTTATATTAAATTTATATAAAGAATAATAATTAAATATCTCAAAATTTTAGAATTTTGAAATGTTAAAAGTAAATTATAAATCTCTATTTTATTTAAATGTCTTATTTATATGAAAATTAATTTCAAATGTAACAAAATCTATTTAAAAAATTCTACCGGTCCTACAGACCGGTGTTGATCAGTTCACTAGCAAAGATTTTGTTCAAGCAAACCAGACCTGGTCGATAAGTTGGTTCTGGTCCATCCGATTGGAGTGTCCAGTTTTGGTCCAATTTTTAAAAACAATGACTTAATCATGACTATGTTATTTATAATATAATTGTAGTATTATTTCCCCGTGCATCCTACGAGACACGTACCAGTCATTAAATAATAGAGGGTTATAACCTAATAATTATGGCCCGTTTGATAAGAGTAGTCTTTGGCATGTCATTCCAGCTCGGGCCTATTAGGGCTACCCTGTAAGTTAATAGGTGAGCCTCTAGTAGTACGATTCAATATAATAATAATAATAATAATAATAATAATAATAATAATAATAATAATAATAATAATAATAATAATAACAAATAGTGGTAAAAAATTATGAGACTTTTTTGGAAACTTTTTAAATATATGCATTAATTGCTTTTATATACACTTTTTCAAATAAAATCAAATCAGATATGATCAAAAATACTATTTTCTTAAATAATTTATTAATATCTGCAACAGTTTCATTAATATCCGCTTATAATAAATTACAAAATTGATTTTCCATGATTCACGTTGACAATATTTTGGTCAAGATAAATATCACAACATATTTTAAGTTCCAACCATAATATTAATTTTTTTTTCACAAATATTCACTTTTTATCCAAAAATATTTATAGAACATCGTAACATGTAAGGTAGAATTGTTTCTTCCATTAATCAGGCGAAATGAAGTTGGTGAATTAATCTTTGTCAATATAATGTTTTCTTAAGCTTTATTTCGTTATATATATATATAAAATAAAATTATTTTTCAAATTCATATAATTTATCATTTAAGAGAATGATCAGATAAATTAAATAGTTTTACTTATGGTAAAAAATTAAAACTGAAATATATTAACTTTTCTTTTGAATTTATTTGAATTTTATTGGCAACCATAATTATTTTTATCATTATTTTGAATTTTTATTTCTTTCTATGGTGAAATTATTGTAAAATATATTTACATTGCAGAGTAAGCTAAATAAACTATAAATCCTTACAATGCAAATAAGAAAAATCATGATTATCGCAGGGATTGCTTTTTGGCATTTGCTAAATCAAAGCTGTTTAATTAGTTTACAAATAATTTTAAAAAAAAAAACATGTGTTTATATTTTATAAAATATTTATACACTATTTAATATTAATTTTTTTTTACATATTTTAAACTGATTACAAAAATAAATACTACTAACGTGCATTAAATATTTTTCATTACATAAAATAAAGAGAAAAAAAGATATACAATTTCTATAACTTTTATAAATAAAAATGACATAATATGACAACAAAGTTTATATTAAAATAATAATTAAGTATTATATGATAACAAGAATAAGTAAAACTATTATTTTGTCATATATCAAGGAATAAATATATATACTATAATCATATTTATATTAGTAAAAATGTTTTAATGAAATACAATATCTCGCCCGAAACCCTAGCCCTTTAATCTCGCAGATTGTAACTCCCTCGCCGGAAATTCGGGTCTGGCGGTGGACGGCCTCCATCGCTCGTCCATGGAGACGTAACCCCCGTCTCAATTGCTGCAGCTGGGATCTGTCTCGCGCGCCGGCCATCGTAGAAGCTTCTCTGTTCTGGTTGCGCTCCGGATTCAGGTGCCGTCGGCGTTGGTTGGGGTGTGGTGCTGGTCCATGGACGAGGCTGGGTTAGCTGCTCTTGCCTCTGGATGGGACGCCGACTATTCTCCTTGCTTGCCTTTCTTGCCGCCGGTCAGGACCGTGCCTTTTCGCTGACGAAGCAGCGATTGGCCGGGGCCACTTCCTGTTCGACATTTGGTTACGCCAATTGGAGGTTTGCCCTTGTTTTTGTTGCTTTTGTCTCGATTTTTATTTTGTCCGTGATCGGAGGGACCTCCCGGTTTTTCCTTGGCGCGCTGGAATTGGTGGTTCACGATTGGGGGGTCGTAGTTATTGCTGGGATCGGATGCCGCTTCTGGTTTGTGCTCGGCTGTTTAATTGTGTTCGGCCGCTTCGGGCTGGGATGAATGGTTTGCTGTTTCAGGCGGGCTAACTCGGTGAAGCCAAGCCGTGTAGGTTTCTTCATGTGATTGGAGTGCGGGCCAGCTCTTCGATTAGTTCAAGGATGTGGGTACCCGTCTTGCTAGGCCTTAAGCAGTGGCGGGCGGTTGTTTTCGTGCTCGGGAGTCGTCGTTGGAGTTGGTCTGTCTGCTGTCTATCTAGATGTATCTAG